TTTAGTAAAGTAATGCTTTATTTATTATTAAATTAAAGTATAATAAAATAATTAAAATAGTATAAAAAGTTAATTTATATTATTCTTTATTTAATATAAAAAAATTATAAAGATTGATTAAAATTTGAATAATTTTTATTAGAAATAATTATTACTTTTATATTGATATATCAATTTTTTTGTACTAATCCATATACTATATTAAAAAATTCAATTACATTAATTATATGTATCATAGAATTATATTATTGTAATTAAAATAACTATTCTGAAATAACTTAGATATGTGATCTAATAATCTAAAATCTAATTCTTTAAATTAAATTTTAATAGTATAATCAGAATTAATAAAATCAAAAATATAGTAATAATTAAAAAATATAATATTCAAATAAAAATTTTTAACTAAATATATCTTTTTTAATTTAAAAATATCAAAATCATACTTGATATAATTAAATAATATAATTCTATAGTTTAAATTCAAGATAAATTTTTTGTAAATGTCAAATATATTTAATTTTTGATATTATATTATATTTATTCTTTTTAAACAAAATAAAAAAATTGATAAATAATTATATAAATTTTATTTTTTTTAAAAAATTAACTTTTTTAATTTAGATTATCATCTCATATAATTATTATAAATTTTTATTATATTGAAAAATTCTTTTTAGCATAAATTTAATAAAACAGATATATATTTTAATATTAATATTATTTTATATATTCTGAATTTTCTTTTATAAATTTTTTTTATTTAAAATTAATCCTGAAAGATAATATAAATTAATAATATTTTAATATATAATCTTCTTATTATAAATATAAAATTTAAAAAATATTTATATAAAATATTTAATTAAAATTAATTCAATTTATAACTTATATTATTTATTTTATTAATATTAAATAATTATTAAAAATATATAATCAAAATATTATTAAATATTAATTTAATATTATATAAAATATAAATATATAATTATTTATTATTAATATTTGATAATATTTTTAAAAGATAAGAAAATAATTAATAATATAAAAATAAATATAGAAATAAATAATTATAAATAATAAATAATAAATTATTAATTATTTATTACTTAAATATATATATTAATATTAATTTAAAAATAATATTTTAAGAAATTTATATAATTTTTAAAAGCAATTTTTTAAATAATATAATACTTATAATTAATTTCTTTTACAAATAATTATTAATATTTTAATTCTTTATATTAATATATATATATATATATATTATAAAATATAATATTATAATTTTCTTATCTAATATAATATTCTTATAAAAAATTCTATAATATTAATTTATAAAAAATTATTAATTATTTAAAATCTTAAAAATAAAAATTAATTAACTTATATCTTGAAGTTTTTAATTCAAAAAAAATATTTTATATTATATATTTTAGAATTATTAAAAAATATAAGATTATTATATTTATTATTATAAGAATTTTTAGCATTTCTTGCATAATGTTTTCTGATAAATAAATTAATTTTAATACTTTTATTTAAATAAAGTTTAATCTATTCAAATTTTTCTTTATAAAGTTAAGTATATTATATAAGTTTTTTAATTATATTAAATGAAATTATATATAAATCTAATAATATTTTTATTTATCTATTTTCAAATAATCTGATTTTTTTCTTCTAGATAAACTGATATCTTATAATTTTTTTAACTTATTTATCAAGAGTTTTATGAAGTAAATATTATCATATTAAAGTAAAAAAATTATAAATTTCATATGTAATTGCTACAAGTATAGTTATTATTACCTATTTTTTTAATACTCATAATAAATTTAGAAAGTTGAAATTATAAAGTATTATTATTCAATAAAACAAGTAAATAATAATAATTTTTTTTGAGTTTGAAATCATTCAAATATTCTTATCTATTAAATTATTAATATTTCAATATTTTTAAACTTTTAATCTTTCTATTGCTTTCTTAATATTATTATCTGAATTAATATCAGATTCTTTATTTATATTGAATTTATTATGAATAATAATAATATCAAGTATTTTAGTACTCAATATTTGAGATACTTTTGGATATTAATAGTAAATATCAGAATTTTTTCTGATAATTCAATAATTTATAATATGATAGTTCGAAGTACCATCACATATAAATTATTGAACCATTAAATTGTCAGAAAAAATTCTTGATATTTACAATATGATGCATAATATCTAAACTTATCAATATTTATCGATCAGTCCAAAATTTATATAGATATAATAGTCACGTGAAAGTCACATGCAAGTTATTTTATTGGCTAAAAATTAATTAAAATTAATTTTATTTAATTTATTAATAATTTTATCTGGAATTCTTCTATGAGATCTATATTTTTTAATAGCATATTCTGCTAATTTTCCATTAATTTCTTGACTATAAAGATTCATATAAGACCATATTTTTCTTGCAAATCTTCTAATTGTAACCAATGATACTGATTCAAAACTTTGAGAAATTATTTTTTGTAATTCTTTTCATGAATAATCATAATTTTCTTTTGTGTATTTTTTAGCTGCTCCCCAATATCTTTCAATAAAATTAAGCTCACAATGAAATTTAGAATAAAAAATGCACATATGACCAGCATTTTCAATTAATTCTACAATTGCTTCTTTTTGTTCAAGAAAATCTAATTCTAAAGAAATTACTTGTCTGACACAACATTCAATTCTTATTTTGTTATTGATTTTTACTTTGTATTATTTACAATCTGCTAACAATCTATTTTCAGGTCATTTTCCTCTTTTCACTAATATTTGTTTTATATCTTTAGGTTCATCACGTAGTGATATTATTAGATAATTATCAGGAAAAATCATATCTTGTGGTTGATTATTTGGTTCAAAATATGTACATCTCATTTTAGGTTATTTTCCTCCAGGCTTAAGATTCATTCATTTAGCTACCAATACATCTTGTTTAAATGCAGCATGGTTTGAACTGTTGTCAAATGCAAATACTGCTATATAATTTGGATATAATATCTCAAAAATTGGAATTGCCTTGATTTGAATTTGTTCAAGCAAATGATCAGCTATCCAATAGCCTTCTTGATTTTTGTCAGGCTATAAGTATTCTCGTGCTTCATGTAGAATATTTGAATGTTACATTATATCTTCTGGTTATAATCGAAGACATCTATTAACTTCAGTTAAAAATTCACTAATCATAATTGAGCATTCATTTCCTTTTTTACATAATGATAATTCACCATTTTTAGCCTAAACATCATGTTTGCCATCATTAGAATAGAAAATACATTTATCATGTGTTACAAGAATTTGCTTCTTGATACCAATTTCCAAGTTGGGGTAGATGTGATCCATACCAGGTTCTTCGTATTTTGACATGTACTTTTCATGTTCAAACATTTTTTTGAGAAACTGGTCATGATAACTAACTATATCTTCATGTTCATGTCCATCTTAATAAACTCCTTGTTATTGTTTTTGATAAGAATAATCAAGAATGTTAAACCATCGGGCTGCAGTCATTTCACTTATTTTTTTTTGTCTGATAATTCCAATATCAACCAGCAATTCTTGTTCAATAAATTCTTTGAATTTGGCTAGTATAGCTTTGAAATTTTGTGCACAAATCCATACTTGACATCTTTCAGCTACATCTTTATCATCTATTAATCAGATTGTTTTTTGATGCTTCCCTATTTGTGATATTGGAAGCTTGCCATAAAGTAACTAATAGTTTGCGAGATATCTAATTTTTCGTGCTCACCAAGGACTACCATTAATAAATACTAATTGTGCTATCTCCAAGCTTGCACACATTCACCCTCACCCAAAATTATCTAAGCAAGAAAGATATTCAAAAATTGCACGCTTCTGATTGTATTCTTTTATAGTTATTTTATCAATTTGATGCTCTAACTTTATTTTCAAAGATATCAATTTTTCATTGACATTATTTGCTTGTAATCAATTTTCAGTTTCAGATTCGCTTGAATTATTAGTGAGTTGCAGGTTTACAGTCTCAAATTGTGAAGATATACTAGATTGGGGTATGAAATAGTTTGTTATTTTTGCTATACCAATAGTAGCTTTTATAAATATTCCACTTGGTCCATATTTCTCAAAATATGTTGACTTTGACACTTTTTCAACCATATAGGGTCCACGCTTCTTCTTTTCAAAAGTATTATTCTTATTCCAAATTAGTCCCAGTTTTTTTATCATTAAGCGTGTGCTAATTTGCTCTTCATTATCTAGATCTAGTTTACTTTTCCATCCACTATCCATGTCATCACCCCACTATTCATCTCTTTATATTGTAGAGGCATTACCAATGGCATCTTGGGTTTGTACTTATACCCATCACTTTCTATCTCAACTACTTGATTCAACACTTCAAAGTCACCATCATCAACTGCCAGATTCATTTTTGGTCCAAATTTACCGTCAGAGATTTGGAACTGCTGCTTATAAATTTGTCATCGCTTTTTCAAAGGTGGCATGTTGTATGTTATATTTAAAAAACAAATTCAAAATATTAATAAAGAAAATCAGAATAAAAATGATTCTCTCTCAGGTACAGAAGCACAATTTCAAAGCTCATATACTTGTTCAAGTCATTTTGGAGCTGTTTTTTGAAAAAAAAAAGAGAAGGCAAAGTTAATCTTGGCAGTGTGACACAAAGATGCAAACATATCCCAAAATCTCAGTCCTCATGATCCACTTCCAGCCAAAGAAACTCGAGTCAACATCTACGCTAGCCACATACCTGTTCAAGTCATCTCAAAGCTGTTTTAGTAGAAAAAAAGAGGAAAGATTAATCTTGGAACAAGACTTGAAATCTTGCCTCTGGCACCCATTTCTGACTGAAAGAAACTCAAGCCAGCACCAGCTCTAAACTTTTGCATATCTTATTAAGCTCTTTTAAAGTGAAAAAAAGAACAAGTGACGCAAAAAGTATCAATTAATTCTATGCTAAGCCATCTCTCGCTAAGCCATAGTCGATTAACACGTGTTCAAATCACGTGAAAAGTGACCGCTAATTGGTCAAATAACATGAACACGTGAGGATTGGTGTCCGAAATCGGAAGATTTATTAATAAAACTACCTATTTTTAAACTATAATAACTCCTCTTAAAATTATATAATTAAAAAATTTTCACCGATAGATCGAAAGCCTATAAGCTAATCTATCATTTTATCGGCTCCGAAATTTGATGTGACACAAATCGAGAGACTAGATAGATTTAGATGTTACGTAATAAATCGTTGATGAGTTTAGATGTTATGCACCATACTAATTTTCATGTATCATGTGAATATTTCACATGACCATTATAATTTGATTGGTAAAAATTTGTATCATGTGGATTTTTTCAGATCTTCTATTTAATAATAATTAGTCAAAAATTTCGATCATCACTATATGATTTTAATAAAGAAAATTCAATTTCAACTTTCCTGGTCTCATAATCTTTGTTTTTTTAATTAAACTCTAATCAGTTCGGATCTAAAATTCCGATTTTGGGTCGGATTACCTATTTTTCAAATCGGGTTTGATATTGAACTGGTTTGAAAATTTCGGATCGAACACTGCTAAGATTAGTTGCTTAATTTGATTTGAGCAATAAATAAAATTTTTGCCTTCTAAAATCTGCAAGTTTATTTTAAATGACGCGATAATACATGAATTGAACGAAAGTCGATAAATCGGATTTCCAGATTTTTCGCTAACAGCCCGATCACTTCATCAATCAGTCTCCTGAAACGTTTTATCCAATGAGATATGTTTTTAATTTATTGATAGGAATTCTTCAAATTATTCAAAGTTTTATTATCTATTAAAGAGTTATCTGAAATAATATATTTAAAGCTCCGATCTGATCATCTCGAATCGGATTAGATCACCCAAATGTTTTATCTTCGTGAGACTTGTTCTTGATTCCATTTTCGCATAGCGTCCAATAACCATTTGCTATTATTAATACCCTTACTCCTAGTCTCATATCTACCATAAGCACCCTGCTCAAGTATATTTCCATTTGCACTCACCAAAAACACCTGCCGATTATTTTTTCTAATCTGCACAATCTCTTTGGCTATTTCATCAAGTCCTTTTTTATCTTTTCCAGCATTATACCACTTGAAAAATTCATCGACAATTCTACACTTGACAATAAACTCACTCGGATCATCTTCTTTATTTTTATTTCTCGATAATTCAGAATTCCCAAAAAGCTGTTGCATCGGTTCGTTGATCAAATTGACAACCTCTTGTATCAGATCTCTGGTGCGAAGAATTCGCTCCCGATGAATCCAAGTATTGATTAGTTGTAACTCCGATTGCTCGATTTGATTTAAAACCCGGGAGGTTAATTTCGCAATTGTAGAACCGGTGATTGTGGCTCTGGTATTGGCCGGTGCAAGTTTACAAATTTCCTCGGAAACTGTTATCGGCGAAGACAACAGACGACCAATGGAAAGATAGATTACAAATGTTTCAACAAGTGTATTATCTACTGTACATACAATAGTAGTAGAATAATTATTGTCATTTACTACTGCATGCGAAGAGGAAGTGGCAGAATCCTTTTCATAAGCTTGATGTCGAAATTCTTTATCCAAGTCATGAGTTTTTCTTTTTGCTGAACTTATTTCCTTTGGAGGAGGGTTTTCATCTTTCGAGGAAGACGGCAATGATGGTGATAATGCTTGGATTGGTGTAGTTGCTTCAGTTGTCATAGTAACTGAATCTTCGTCATTCATCAAAGTATTAAAAGCAGTTGACAAAAGTTTGATATTTTTGTTTAATAAAATGTTATTATCGGAAGAATTATTTAATGAGACAATACTTTTATCTTGATTATCAATATTATTTGGTTTCGATAAAAAATTCCCATAAATATTATCTTTATCAACAAGGGACTCGCTAGATAAAGAGGAGGGAACATCAATACCCAATCTAATAGGTTCAGATGAAATATTGTTGTTTGTCTTCGCTTGGTCGAAGTTTGATGACACAATGATCATATCCTTGGTATAATTCGTTGGCATTGATTTATCCTTTTTACTTGTGCTGCTGCTGTTGCCATTATTATTGATTTCAGTTGGAATTACTATTGGTCCTTTATTCAATCCAGAAAAAGATGATGACGTTGCTAGAGATGGATTTGAATTATCGTCTTTTGTCGTTGTCTTTACATTAGAAGTTCCTTCCTTAATCATATCTGCAATTTCTTGGATTTTTAATATCATTCCGTCTGATTCCGCACTATTACAATTTCCACCGACGACTGGCTTTTTGTTCTTTAATTTGTTATTTTGTATCCAAGTATCCATTGCAGTAATAATTATAGAACCATGCGATTGTTGAATGTAACATCGAACCATATCTATTTCTTTGCCATTATTTTCAGGCATTGCAATGAAAATTATCTTTATAATCTCCTCAGCAATCGCCTTTAAAGATAATTCTGATTTTAATCCCACATGATGGAAGAATTCATCGATAATAGAAATTTGATTCGAGTCCAATAAATACTCCGAAGTAATAATATCAAATGTGAAAATCTCTGATGAGGAATTCGATATAAGATCTGATATTTTAGATGCTAATAATCGCGACTGACTCAGCCGTTGAGCTTGTATCCATTTACCGATAGTTAACAAGATATTTGAATCACGTGGTATAGAGACACGTGATAATATTTGAGAAATTGTGTCATCCGATATTTCCACAGATGCAATGTCATTTTTGCTGCTATTATTCATCAGTCCATGAATCTCATGGGCAACAATAAGTGGTGAAGATTTACGAAGTGTGAAATATGTTGTAAATTTTTTAACAAATTCCTCGACCTTATCACTGATTAGGGATGAATGAGTAACTTCAGGGATATTATTTTCGATCTTTGAACTTTTTTTGTTTTTGCCTTTCTTATTGGTTGTCATTTTTGGGATGATTTTTGATTGTTCTTCGGTAAGTTCTGTTAATTTTAAAAATTTATTTGGAGATCCTTTTGGTAAAGTATCTGTTTTGTTGATATACGGTAAAGACACAATTTTCGAAAGATCCATTTTCGGACATTTGGGTTTTATCGTGTTAAGAGTTGCTGATGATGGTTCGGGTAAAACTAATTTACTAGATGTTGATGATTTTGGGCTATCAGATAATGATCTCTTTTTGTTCCTACTCCGTTCACTGGGAATTGGTATTCTTATTAGTGTTTTCGTCTTTTCATTGTTTTTGCGAATATTTCGATTTTGATATTTTAAATTCTGGACGTTGGAATGACTTCGATTATTGTTATTATTAAATGATGGATCATTATTATCATCATCATCATTCTTATTACTTAAATGTGATTCATCATTTTGTCGAAGTTGTTTTCGTGGAGTTGAGCGTGATGAAAATGATTGAAAATTAACATTATAAATTTCCGCCTTTTCTTTTTTATCCATTCCTTTTTCTTTAGTAAAGTGATCAACATCAGTTTTGTTATTTTCAATGCCGTTATTGTTGTTATTGATCTCACTTTTGGTAACGTTGCTGTTACTTTCAACGACATCATCGTTATCAATAATACGACTATCAATATTATTGCCATTGTTAATAATTATAACGCTAATAGCGTCATTGTTATTATAGCTATTATTGCCGTTATTAATATTATCCACTTTGTTAATATGATGATTCCGTTGTGCAGAAAATAATTTCTTTTTTCTTTCAGTGATTTTCTTGAGTTTCGGTGGATATTCAACCAGTCGTTTGTATTTTCGTTTCTGCTTTTCTTTTGATCGTAAATCATATGGAGCTTTCGATATAATTTTTCTTTTTGGGCTAGGAATTATTATAGGATTATACTTTCTTGGTCGTAATCCATAACGTGATACTTCGCCCGTTACGATTTCTCCACCTCGATTTGTCACAGTTTCACCTTTGCCATCTTCCTTTTGCTTTTGTTCTATTTTTCCGTGCTCTTTTTGAGCTTCTTGACCTTGGTGTTCATTTTGTGTTAATTCCTCATCATCTTGGTGATTAATTTCACTCTTTTCCTCGACGAAGACCTCCTTTTTTCCTATCCTTGATTCATATATTGAAGAATTCATGTAATAATTACTATTACCAATCTTATCGTCTTTATTCGCTTCAATTTTTTGCTGTACGTTTGAATTGTTAAAGTTTTTCGAATTCCTACTCGATTTCCGTGTCTTATAATAATGACTTATTTGCACGACGTTTTTTCCCTTTTTTTTACTATTATTGGTTACAATATCAATTTCCATGCTAGCATCAATATGATCCTTTGAAATCTGACTATTTGAGACATCAACCATGCCAATCGTATTGTCATCATCTTTTTTGTCATTAGGAATATTGTTAGTATTATTAGTATCATCCTTGTCAATAAACTCTGCATCATTCATAATTATATCATCGTTATCCTTGCTTTTTTTGATTGTTTTATTATCAGTTATATTCATATCATCTCTATAGTCAACTACCACCTCTATATTATCACGTGACACCACAGCATTTTGTAAACTCGTCATAATCTTTGTAACTTTAATAATGCCCGTGTCACCACTATTTGCTAATTTGACTTTATCTTCTTCCTCCAATGACCTAGACGGGGTAAGCGATGTAAACGGCAGCGGCGTGAAATGATCATTGTTATTAAGATGTTTGTGTCTGGATCTGGATAACGGTCGATGATCAATGCCCATTCGAAGATAAGCACTCCCAATGTAGAATAATCTTTTGGAAGTTTTTCTTCCATCCACTTTTGGAAGTTTGCGATCCATGTGGTTTTATTGTATTTTGATTAGACTTGATGAAATGGTATTTCTGAAAAGTTTAAGCAAATGCGAGAATTTGTACGAGAATGCGATTTATTTTTTGTATTGCAATAGTTATTCTTGACCGAGGTTGTTCAATCGATGGGATTTATGAATGAAGGCAAATTGATTGAAGTTTTAAAGTGGATAATTGTTAAATGAATATTGATTAAGTGATAATTGAAAATTGGACTGAATGATAAAAATATATGAATTATTTTTAAAATTTGTCATAAAATTTTCATAAACTTTACGCATACCTTCACTAAAAGTCATTAAGCGGAAAAATCAAGTGATATCCAGTTGAGTTTATAGATTGAGTTCATAGATTAGGATTAAAGAAAAAAACTTTTTTTTTCTTGATCAAGCCTTTTATACATTAACTGATTTACTTTCACTCTTTGGCTTTTTATACTCACCATGACAAGGTTCGCTGCGACACCGTTTTGAATTTTTTTTAGTACAAAAAAATATTTAAAAAAAAGAAAACCACGCAGTTGTTCTTTTATGTCGCTGTGTAAAAAAATTTACAACTTTCGATTGTTTGAACCAATCAGCATCGAGAGATAAATTTAGGGCACGTGTTCTCTGATTAGAATCTTTCATCACGATCATCATTATTGATTTTGAACATCATGTGGATACTTATCTTTTTAGATCAAGTTATCAGGTGGCAAATATAAAGGATTTAAGGAATCGAGTAAAATAGAATACATTTATTAATTAAAATACAAAGAATAAGGCTTATTTTCAAACAGTATTGAATTTTCTTTAAATAACATAATATAGTGCACAAAATTGGGATCAAGTTGCTGTCTTTTTCCATTTAATAAAGCTTTTTGTTCGGAATCTTCGGAGAAAACACGTCTCGCAGGAACACAAGTACCAGGAATTCCCAAATAAATGCGTGCTTGCAATGCAAGTCTGGGAAATTTCGAAGCATTTTCCAGCCACCATTCAAGCGAACCTTTATTTTCATTTTTTGCCAGTTCCGGTAATCGTAAATAGAGATCAACTTCTGTTTTATTGGCAGAGGAAGTAAGATCCTCGTCAAAGAATGCTGCCAAAGGATTACGATAATCAATTGATGGTTTCTTAATTATGTTAACTGGAATATCGACATCCCCAAAAGCTTCCACTTTTTCTTTTAACAATTTTGCCGCTTCTTCTCGTTTCTTTTCAGGTAGCAAATGCAGTGATTTGAATCGTGGATCCAATTGAGTGGCCAATAAACCAAGAGGTTCCGGACTCTTCCAATGTTTATCCATTGTTGATATAATTTCTTTCTGAACTTCAAGAATTAATGGTTTTTTAATTTTTTGAGGGGATTGGTTCAGGTGAATAGATAATTTTAACATTGTCTGAAACATTATAGCGAGTGAAGAATTTTCTTCTCGAAATTCCATAAATTCAATCACTTGCACAAATGGTTTCAACAACAAAACCAATTCTTGCACCTCTTCCCATTCATCATCTGCGAGCAAAAGTTTCGCTAAATCATTACCATCATTCTTCACTTGTACATCAGTATCACGAACAAGGACGGTTTGTAACACTTCCGTAGCAGATCTAAGCGTTAATAATCGTTCAAGGATCAAGTAAATAGAATTCCAATTTCCCGATTCTTGTTTGATTGCTTGTTCTATTGGTTTATCTGATCGTACCATTGCCTGGATTCTAAAGAATCTATCGCGATGCTTATCTACTCTATGCACTAAAAAGTCATTAAGTGCTATAGCTTTCTTTAGGTTGTGGTCGCATTTTGCTAACCCCGATTCAATCGAGGTATTGATAATGTGTGCAGCGCAAAGAACATGATCCGCTTTAAGAGAATGATGATTTATCTTTGAATCATTGTCATCATTAATTGTCGCAAGTAATTTATCGGATATTTGCCATCTATCGAAAAGATTTTTCAAAGCTTGGGATAAATGTTCATCGGTAGGATTGATAGGCAAAGTACCTACACCTAGTAAGGCTTTTTTCTGAATGAATTTATCAGTGATCCAATGAACATATACTGCAATAAAAGAATTTTGGTCATTTGGCCATAGTTCAGTTGTGTAGCTAAAAGAGATCATGCTTCTTTGAATAAGATGAACTAGTTTTTCTTGGATTCCATTTGCCGAGTCAATAATGATTTGTTGGACATGTTCGATTGACGGGAATGCAAATTTCGGATCCATATCATGACAAAACTCACGAAATTTAACACTATTCAATAACTTGAAAGGCTGCAAATCATCCACCATCCATGCCACTAATTTAAAGATTAATCTGTCTTGTTTCTCTTTAGGATGCATTCGGGATGTGGAAAGATTTGTAGCAAGATGCTGATATGATGATAACGAGCTATTGGTATTTCTTGATGACGACCAATCAAATGACTGAGATGATGCTGATGCTGTTCCTCTATTACGAGAAGTTGAACGTGTACGAAAAGTCGTAGAAGCATTCGTTGCATTTGTACGAGTAGTAGCAGCACGGATCGGAGTATATGGAGTATTTGCATCGAGAATTCGATGAGTACCACGTAAATGAGAGGCTAAGTTACTTGTGCTTGTTGAATATTGAAACAGATGACCGCATTGAACCTCCTCATTTTTCTCATTCAACACAACAACTTGACACGTGACAATTTTGGTTGAATCATCTTTTCTTAAATGATTCCAAACCCAACTACTGGTAGATTTGAGTCGTTTAGATGGAGATGCAATTCCTTCAATTGCTGAAGTGTTGCTATGAGTTGAAGGTGTTGATAATGCATTAGTCGGGCGTTTTACTGGCACTAAAACATTTGTTGATGACGAAGAAGATGATGTTGACGGAGTTGATTGTATAAAATCACCAAGACCCAATTCTGTAAATGTATTTAAAGAGTTTATAGAAGGAAAACTAAATCTTGGATCCATCTCTTGACAAAAATCACGAAATTTTTGGTTGTCGATAAGTTTAAAAGGTTGTGAATCCTCAACTAACCAGGCCACTAATTTCGCAACTAATCGATTTTGTTTGTCTTTATTGTGCATTTTTATTCGCTCAGGAGGAGGTGGTGGTGGTGCAAATGATTGATTCTGTATCGGAGACCCTGCAATATTTGTAGAAGTGACAGTAGTAGATGCGTTATTAACGTCATCAGTATCGTCACTATGATTTCTATTACTATTATTGTTTTTGTTAGTCAATGGTGAAATTGAAATAGTTGAAAGTGGATGTTGAAGTGGAATATGTGAAGATGAAGACTGTTGTTGATATGGGAAAGGAATTGAAGAAGATGGATGTATTAATAATTGATGCTGTTGTGGTGGTGTTGGTTGTTGATTTAAGGGTTGTTGAAGAATTTGAACTTGGTGATGAGATGACGGCATTGCAATAGAGGAGGGCATTTGTAATGACGGTGATCTCATTATTATCGGAGTGGAAGACGACATTGAATTGATTCCAGAAGTGGCGTTAACAGTGGCAGCACTGTTACCATGAAATTCATTTGTAGGAACAGCGACAGATGGAGACGCTGGATTATTAGTAATATTGGAGTTGATTGAAGAAGCAGGTGCAGAAACAGAAGCAGCGATGTTAGGAGCTGATGTTTTTGATGGATCATATATTTGATGTTGACTTCGTAAATGTGTTGCCAAATTACTAGTACTCGTTGACATTTGAAATTGATGTGCACATGGTACCGACTCCCCTTCTTTATTGAATACTGGTACTTGACATAATACCAATTTTTGTAATTCATCCTTCTTCAAATGTGTCCAAACCCAACTTGTTGTTACCCCTTTTTTATTACCATACCTTTGTTTAGATGTTGTCGATGACAATGCTGTTGTCTTATTACGATTATTAGTATTAGTATTGTTATTATTGTTATTGCTGTTGCTGTTGTTGTCGTTGTCGTTGTTGTTATTTTTGTTGTTATTGTTGTTGTTATTGCTGCTGTTACTGCTGCTGCTATTATTATTATTATTATTATTATTGTTATTATTATTATTATTTTTACTAGTAGTAGTGGTGGTAATATTACTAACAATACTGATGCTATTCAAAGGTTGAATAGAGGGAAGTCTCGTATTATTTTCAAAAAGGCCGAAATTATCCGGCTCTGAAAATTTTGGTGTTGGTGGACTATTTTCCCCTCCAGAAATTGTTTGTGGTGATACCGAAGAAACGACACCACTTGTTTGTTCTAACATTATATCGACATTATTGTTGTTATTCGTAATATCGTCAGGTCGGACAGCAATTGAAGAATTTAATTTAATTTGGGTGTTTGCCATTAAGTCAGCTTCACTTTCTTCTCCGCTTTCTCTTTTAATTTCATTATTGTTGGTGTCGTTCTCATGAATAGAATTATTAGAGTTTAAGCTTGAATTATTATTGTTGTTATTGGATTCTTTATTAGAAGTAACATTACTACTAACATTATTAGACAAAGAGTTTTTATTATTATTAGTATTATTATTAGTATTATTATTATTATTATTATTTGTATTATTATTATTTTTAGTGTTATTTTTATTATTAAGGGTATGATTATTAAAATTTTTATCTAAAGCATCATCAGCGGCAGCAGCATCGTTATTATTCGGAATAAACGAAGAAGAACGACTAGTTGTTACATTGCCTTGCTGCTTACTTTTAGATTGATTAAAAAATGAAAAGCTAGACATTGCGCTTCAAATAATTTGGGTAATAATAGAAAAATATTCGCGTAGCTCAAAGAACGGCAGTGTTGGTCGTGTTCGAATAAGAATAATAGTAAGATGATGATTGTGAATAAAAAAATTTGTGGGCGTTTAGTCGATGGTTGATGAGATGGGGTTGAGTCGCTCAGTAAATAAAGAGGATATTCACGGAACTTCTGTATCACTCACAGATCAATGATGATGACTAAGCTGTATTTGTTTTGTCAAGTGATTATTGATCGCTGATTCAAAGTGCACAAATGTCCTAGTACGTGTATACCAATACATATTCATTTTGAAAAATCATCCATTTACCAATGGACTACACAAAATAGGCATTAATTAGCAAAACGCATCAGTTCATGAGATTGTTACTGACGTCGGGTCTGGTCTCAATTGGAAACGACGAGGATTCGTGAACGAGTGTACACAGGAAATCTCAGAGGAAGTTGTGGTTACCCGCAAGGACCGATTGTGCCGATTCGCACATGAGCTCGTCGAGTGGATTTTTCAGAAACACGATGTCAAATTCGTGGCTCTCGATACGGATGTTGAATCAACAGACCAAGACACAGGCGAACTTGCAGAGGATCTACTATCTATCTGGTGTTCACAGCCAAACACAATGGTCTTAGGGCTGCCGCAAACAAAAAAAGAAGACAGGAGATCGAAGATGCGCAAGATCCGCATGTATCCCAACGATCAAGAAAGAGAAACGTTGAAGAGGCGGATGGGAACGTACCGATGGACATACAATCGATGTCTCGATCTGATAAGAGAAGGAAAACGCAGAACCAAAAAAGATTTGAGAATACGAGTGATTAATAACGATAACTATCAACTCGAGAATGCTTGGGTGAAGAAAACCCCTTCTGGTGTACGCGATTGTGCGCTGTCCGGATTTTTAAAAGCATACGATACAAATCTTAAATTGAATAAGAAATTCATGATCAAGAAAAAATCAAAAAAGTATAAACCGCAAACAATTACTATTGAAAAAAGGGATTTCATACGAAAAAAAGGTGAATATGCGTTTCTTAAGCATATCAAGACCTCCGAAGAACTTCCCGAAATAAAAAATGCCATTGATATCAAGCGAGGCAGACTGGGTCGATTCTATATTTGCGTGCGCGTACCGTTGGAAGAAAATTATCGAGAAGATAATGATTTCATCTCGATCGATCCTGGCGTGCGCACATTCATGACGGGATATGATCCCAATGGAAAGATTATTGAATGGGGTAAAGGAGACATTGCGCGCGTTTTCAGGCTATGCAAGAGACATGATAAATATAGTGAGGTATCCAAAAGCAAGGGTGTGGATCTAATAAACGTAAAAGGTACACGCTAAAGAGAAAGATGCTAAAGATACATGATAAGATCAAAAACATTGTGAAAGATTGCCATCACAAGATCTCAAAGGAATTATGTGAGAATTACAATACCATTCTTCTTCCAAGATTTGAAACCAAAAACATGGTGAGAAAAAAGAAGAAAGAAGAAAGACTCGAGAACCAAGAGTCTAATGATATCAGAAATTTTAAGAAGAAATTCAATCGAAAGATCAAGAGCAAGACCGCGAGGATGATGTTGGCATGGTCGCATTACAAGTTCCAACATCATCTCGCGCACAAGATCGAAGAGTACCCCGGTTGATTGTTGATACTCTGTGATGAGCATTACACCTCCAAGACGTGCGGGACATAAAGGGCAATCTCGGTGGTGCAAAGGTTTACAAGTGCGCTCGATGCGATTTTGAGATTGACAGGGATCACAACGCAGCCCGCAACATCCTTCTGAAACATCTGAGCCAAGGTGACTTGGACCTAGGACCTACCCCGCTTGAATGATTAGCATACTAACGTTCGTTCTATAACTGTGACGTTGATAAAAAATAATTTTTATCGTGGATGATCTGTTTTTCTGTAGGAGAAAGTTAGAAATCAAAAGCTCAACTATGAGACTAATTACAAAAAAAGCCAATCACGATGTCGATCCTACATTTCCACGTCACTGCGCCATGCGGCAAAAAATTTGTGCAGAAATTCTTAAAACAATTAGAATGCATTTTTTTAATGTAAAAAAGTTATAGAAGAAATATGATATAATTCTTTTTAAAGTTAGCTATTATTATTAATATTTTGGCCGGGTCTTACATGATCATGTGATCCTGAAATTTAGGTATGTGATATGAATGAAAATTTCTAATTGATTACTATAGCTAAAGATTATAAAGTCTAAAAAAAATTCAGAAATTAAGAAAAATCAATCATCAATATTAGAAGATTAATAAGTTAATAATATTATAATTTTCTTAATAAAATTATATATATTTATTTTTTATAATTAGATTTGAAATAATTTTAATAAATATAATAAAATATTTATAGAAATATTTTAATAATATTCAAATAAATATAATAAATTATTTTCAATAATAATAAAATATTTTCAGAAATATTTCAGTAATATTTTAATAAATAATTTTAGAAATATTTCAAAAATATATTTAATAGAATATTTCAGAAAAAAATTTTATTAAAATATATTAAAATAGCAAAACTTCAAAATATTTTATAATTTAATAAAATTTTTAAAGTTATTATAAAAAAATCTGTAAAATTTCTTAGATTTTAATTTTTTTATAATTATATATAATTTAATATAAAAAGATTTATATTTCAAAATAAAAATTATTTAAATATTTACTAATTTTATAATTTTTTTTATTAAATAAAAAATAATTCAGATTGATTTTTATATTATTTTATTATTTTATTATATTTTAATTTAATAATAAATAAAATAATAGTTTTTAAAAAAAATTTAAATATTATTATTATTAATCTTAAAATTTTAAATTATATAAGTAACTTATCTTATATTTAATAAAAATATATTTAAATTTATAAAATTTAAATTAATAATTATAAAAATTCCAGTTTCAAAATTTAATAATTAAATTATTTATTATATATATATTTTATATTAATTTTAATTAAATTTATATAAAATAATAATTCAAAAAAATTATTATTAACAAAAAGTTTTTTATAAAAAATATATAATTAAACTATAATATATTGTAAAAAAAATAATATATAAATAATCTTGTATATTTTACTAACTATCTAATAGAAATAAATGAAGATGAACTTATTTTAAAGCTTATAAACTACTTTATTAAATATAAAAATTTTAATATGAAATTCTATTTCCATTTTTTTGTAATACTAGTTTATAATAATTTTTTATAGATTTGATTAAATTTTATATAATATTCTAAGAAATTTTATCTCATTTTTCTATTATAAATTGCTTTAACTTACTAATATCTTTAAATATTCTTTTATTTTTAATAATTTGTCATATATTCTTAATAGAATTCAAATCAGAATTGTTAGATAATCATTTTATTACATAAATATTATTTTAGGATAAAAAATTCTTTGTAATATGTAAAGTATGCTTAAAATTATTATTTTATTGTAAATATCATTTTTTATCATATAATAATCAGTCAAATAAAATAAATAGAAGAAGCTGAGTTTATAAATATTTATATAAAAGAGATTATTTATTATATTTATAAAGCAAAATACTAATCTTTTAATTTTCGTGTTATTTTTTTTACAATATACTATATATATAGTTTGATATTAAAAGATTAATATATCAAATAAATATTAATAAATTATTTTTTTAAAATAAAATTTTAATTCTATTTTATTTAATTAAGTTATTAGGTATTAGGATTTATTTAAATATAAAAATTTTTATTATATATCTTTTATAAAAAAATTTTACTAATATAAACTTTTTTGAATTATTATTTTTTAAATTTTATTATATAAACTTTGATTAAAATTAATATAAAAATTATATAGTAAATAATTTAATTACTAAACTTTAAATCTTAATATTTTTATAATTATTAATTCAATTTTTATAAAATTTAAAATATATATTTATCAAATCTAGAGTAATTTACTTATATAGTTTAAAGTTCTAATCTTATAAATTAATAATGATAATATTTAAAATATCTTTTTTTTAAAAAAAATAATTTTATTTTTATTTTTTTATTTATTATTAAATTAAAGTATAATAAAATAATTAAAATAATATAAAAAGTTAATTTAAATTGTTTTTTACTTAATATAAAAAAATTATAAAGATTACTTAAAATTTGAATGATTTCTATTAGAAATAATTATTGATTTTTATATTAGTATATCAATCTTTTTATACTAATTCATATATTTAAATATTTTAATAATTTAATTAAATTAAATAAAAATAAAATTTTATTTTAAAAAAAATAATTTATTAATATGATTTAATATAAAAAGATTAATATATTAAATAAATATTAATAGATTATTTTTTTAAAATAAAATTTTAATTATCTTATTTAATTAAGTTATTAGATATTAAGATTTATTTAAATATAAAAATTATTATTATATATTTTTTATAAAAAAATTTACTAATAATAAATTTTTTTGAATTATTATTTTTTAAATTTTACTATATAAAATTTAATTAAAATTAATATAAAAATTATATAATATAATAACAATTAAAAGTAATAACTTAAAGACTAAATTTATTAATAAAATATAGTGAAAATTAAAATTTTCTCTCTTAAAAATAAAATTTAATTAATAAAAATTTTTTTACTAACTTTATAATTAGAGCAACTCTTTTAAAAAAAAATTTAAAAAATCTGAAAAAAATATATATTAAATTACAATTAATAAACTTTATTTTAATATAAAAATAAAAATTATTTCTTAATAAAATTATAATTTTAATATAAAAAAAAATTTATATTTTATTAATAAATTTAGTTTCTAAGTCATTACTTTTGATGATTACTATAAATAATTTAATTATTAAACTTTAAATCTTAATATCTTTATATATATATTTATTAAATTTAGAATAATCTGCTTATATAATTTAAGATTCTAATATTATAA